AATTGCCTCATAAATTGTCGCAATACGAAATCGCAAACCTCTTCGGATTCCCTTCCATAAATCGACAGCATAGGGATTTCGGTCTCTCCCCCCACCCTCTCTCTCGCTTTCTTTTGTTTTATATCTCTGTCTCAATTATATGTATAATTATGTAACTACACCCTAATCATTATACTAGGGTTCACATCATATCATATATGACTTGGGCCTAATAAAATAAGTCCAACTCGAAATTCCATCAATGACTCGCATTTAATCCAACCCAATAACCAATTCAAAATAATAATATAATAGCACAAACACAAAATACATATAACTATTAATAATTAATTAATTCAACCACAAATAAACTAAATAAATTCATATTTAATAAATCATTTTAAATGTGGGGGATTACAATAAATACGAATGTTAAAATGAATGTCCGGTTGGGCGGGGGGTGGCATAAATACGAATGTTAAGATTTACATCTAATAAGACTATAAATAATAGATTTGGAAATGATCATATTTGGAAGATGGTTGGAGTAATAGGAATATTTTAATAAAAACACAAATTGTATTTGATACAATAATTTTAAATTATTTAAATACTACATAAATAGTGTTATATCCGTTACATTGGAGTCTCTATATGGGACGACTAATGTAAATCTCCACCATATATCTCTATTGTGTTTGATGAATCTACTATTTCTCAAGACTCACTCTCTTTTTATACTATTCGTTTTTTATACTCTTTATATAATACAATCAAGGGCGGATCCCGCACGAGTCGGGGGAAGGGGGGGATAAAGGGGCTTGAGCCCTCCCAAATTTTATTTTATTTTATAAAATATTAGTCGCAGCCCACCCCAGAATATTTTAGCCCCTAGATTATATTTTTGGGCTCACCATTGAATACAATACACTATTAACATGTTTATGGGCAATGAGACGTGACTTGGTTATCTCGTTTTCCCATGAATATGTCCGGAGGACCCACCACCTACGAGCTCTTGGGTTATATATTGGAACCGATACTATTGCCAATACCCCGCATGCGAAAAATAAGTATGACTTTAAACCCGTGCCTAACATGCCTCATAATCTCAAACTCCAATTTCTTACCTTTATCTAATTTGTTTTATTTTCCTATATACTACTGTAATTTGTTAGTACTTCGTATTTTGTTATTATAACTATTCAAATTGATTTATTGTTCATCTCATTATTTTTCTTCTAGCTATTGTATTGTTTGTTAATTGTATAATTGTCAACCTTTTATTATGAAATTAAACATATAATATTGTGTCATGTACTTTCATTTAGTAACATAAAAGTGTTCATTATACTTGACAGTGTTGCATTATTCATTTTGTTATTGAAAGTATTGTATATGTGTGAATAAAATTCATAAAATTCTCAAACGATAATGAGATAAAATAGGTTAAAATAGTTTGGATATGTGCAAATAGGATTTTAAAGTATGCTGATTAAGAAAAGTGGCTAAAAAAAAGAAGAAGACTAAAGTTAACCACTCGAGACTGTGGTCTTAAATAAAATGAAATAAAAACATGTGATTCAGGTAACTAACTCTAAATAATTAAAAAAAGACTTGGTTATTTTGATTGTTGTTCATTTCATCCACCTCCCAAAATATTTTTGATAAAATTACAGACATCTCATATGATTTTCAAACTTAAACTAACCTATCTCGTAACTAGAACTTGGTAATATTTACATCTCTTCGTTAACTTTGGTTAAAGACGAAAAATATAAAGGCACGAACAAATAAGTAAGAAATCAATAATAGTTAAAGTACAAGCCTATTAGCCTATTACAAATATTTATGTAATGGGTATTGGACTACTCTTGAAGCTAAATCCCAATGTGTTCAGCTTGATAGCGGATTTTCACAGCTTACAATGACTCAAGTTTGTCAACCGCCTTGGCAGGGTATGGTGAAAGGTCAAGTGGATATTGGTGGTCTAGTGCAAAACTTGGCTCAAGAAGAAAGGGATGTATTTGGAGTTCCTGAGAGCATCACTCTTGCTATAATATCTTGGCTCCATCGCGTTCTGTCTTCAATTATATGCTGCTGAGCACGTTCCATTGGCCAGGCTAATATATTGACCTCATGTATGCTGTGTTTGTTAAATATTTATATGTTGATATCCTTGCAGTAGTCAAAGAAGACTTATGTAATCATGTTATGTAGTAGTGTTTTGTTTGCCAAGAAAAAAAAAAAAAAAAGGAAAGATAATTATCTAGTTCAATTCAATTTTAAAAAATTGAAAAAATGTTTGTGTTAATCTATTTTTATATATTTGTTTGTAACTAACAAAAACCTATAATATAATTAACCACATTAATGAATGGTCACTTTATTAAAGTTTAACTATATGAAGCATTTTTATTCAAGGTTATCTATGTTGGATCTTGGGCCGCCGTCTTAATCGGCTAGTGAGCCGGCCACGATCTTTAGTTTCCTCTATGTTTTACGCAATCCATTGGTGCTCCACTAGTTGGTTGTTGCACCATCTTCGTAATTTCTTTTACACGTACAAACTTTCTATCTATTGTAACAAGCTTTTATTTTTCTTATTCTCCTTTTTGTCCATCACTAGCTCACTTTGTTTTGTGTTCCGGAGTGGAATAAGAATTGCAAAGTGAACTGGACTAAGAAAAAAAGAGTAATATTACACATAAAACGAGTTAAAAGGAATAACAGTATTGCATATAGACTGAGCTGTGGATTAGAACGGTAAAGCTTGCTATTATAGCATCCTAACTCTCATATAATTTAATAACTTCAATTCAATTATATATTTTGGCTCGAGAGACCTTTCTATTAAATCTTCAAATAATTAAAACTGAGAATTATAATCGTTATAAATTTTTTTATCATGAATGAATGACCTATTTCTCATCACAGAAAGTACAAAGAATATATATATATATATATAATAATAATAATAATAATAATAATAATAATAATAAAATATTAGTAGAGAAAATAAAATTAGAGATAGATAGAGAAATATAATGTAATTATTCATTCATATATATACCTATACATATAATAATAAAATATTAGTAGAGAAAATAAAATCAGAGATAGACAGAGAAATCTAATGTAATTATTCATTTATTTATTTTTCTTCAATTGACAATTCGTCTAGTTTATTAAAGTAGAAAACACAAATGCATAAAAGAATAAAATATAATATGTATTAAAATAGAGGACAATAATTTCTTTTTAGTTATTGTCACATCGAATTCAAGATCAAATCTCAAATTTTAATTCGAGATGTGTAGAACTGCTCTTGCAAAATATATAGCCAAATTTATACTCATGCATATAATTTCTATTTTTTTTCATCTTTTCTATTTTTTGGTTTGGCTTACAATTACTGAGTTATTTGTTCTTAGTTACTGGAATTTTTTTTTTCCTTTTTGATTCCTCCAAGACGTTGGTTCTTAGTAATTTGTTCATAGTTACAATTTGAAGAACTAAGAACAAAGAAAAAAATGAAAAATATTATCTTTTAGTTACTGGATGAAGAAATTAATTTGATTAAGGGGAAAGGGAGGAAAGGGGTGATCATGAAGACGTTGCAGCGATGCCGCTCATCTGGTGCTGGCATTGGAAGGGAAGAGTTCATTCAGAATTCAGCATTTTCCAATGACGAAAAGTAGTCATGATCTTCAAATCTAAAAAGTTAATTCAATTTTTTAATTATGGGTATTTATGTAAAAAAATAATTCATTTCTTAACGGCAGTTAATCTTCATATGTCAAATATGATAAATTGTAATACTTAATAAATTGAGGTTGTTTGTTGCTAAAAAAAAAAAAAAAAAAAAGAAAAGAAAAAAGAAAAAGAGAGAGGGAGATAAAAGAGAGATATAGTTAAAACTAGAGGAATTTTGGTGCACTACGACGACAAGTATCATACATTCCATATTGACACCGAATGGTAATCTCCTAATATATAGCCAATCTGAGGTGATTTTGTCAATTAAGACTCTTTAAACATCTACTTGTATTAAATATCTTAAATGGTGGATAAAATTCAGATAAAAAATGTTGGTTGAATATTGTGGAAAGAGAAGGTTGGGTTTTCTTGTTCTTGCCATTACCATCACTGTCGCTGTAGGTTTACACATGTATATATATATATATATATTTTTTTTTATTATTTATATATGAATGTTATCCATCTCCGTGACTTTACTTGGACTAATTTCGAAACCCTAGTTATAAGTTTAAGATCTATTACTTTGATATGAACATTATGCATAGCTTAATTTTGAATTAGTAGGCTCTTTGACTCTAAAACTTTATTGTGAAAAATAGTTTCACAGAGAGAGAGAAAAAGGTCGAGTAAATTTTCACGCAGAGAAAATGAAGAAAATTTAAGTCCCTAATTGTAGAGAAAAATTGAAGAGAATCTGAAAGAGAGGTAAATTTTTAGAGAGAGAAAGTGAATTTCAGACCCAATTTTAAATAGAGAAAATAAAAAAAAATTAGGAAATAGTGGAAGATAGAGAGAAAGTAATGGTTCTTGGATTGAAGATAACATTAAATATATATCTTTATATTTATTGAACAAAATTTTCTATTTTAAAAATTATCCAAATAGATTGCGGTCAAATTGGGTGTACATTCCAAGATATTTGATGGTTCCCTATCACTGCTCAATACGGAATATAAGAAAAACCCTCTCTACCAATAAATATTTATATTTATTTTTGCCTTAAATACAAATATCCCTGCATCATCACTTAACGTGTGAAAAAAAAAGGGTAAATGGACAAAAACATCAATGGGGGCATTGTTTCGTCACACTTCTCCTCTCTGGCTTACATGGCATTCTTTAATTGGTTGCTTGACTATTCTAACATCAATGCTCACCTCTCACCTACTTTAATGTTAGTATTTTACCCAGAGTCCCTAGACCAAAAAGAAAAACTACTTTAATATACTCCATCAGTTAAATGGTTGGTTATACTTATGTGTGCACTCACGCACACGTTTATATACATATTTACACGTATATCTAACATTCTGTATAAAATTTTACTCCGCCGTTGGTGATTCCGTCGTCTTCGTCTTCTCCCGTTTCTCTCAGAGCAAGAACTCTCGACATATAGCGAAACGGGAGTGATCGCAGAGCGATCTTCAATTTCCTTCTTAGATCGATCTACTTTCTTTATGTACATAGATGGATCGATTTCAATTGTTTGTTCCAAGTGTTTTCTGACGTTTTTAGGTTCTGAATTATTGAAATAATAGTGAGACCTTAGGGTTTTTTCTTTGTTCCTTTTAGTTTTGTTTGAGATATAATAAAGTAATATATTATATTATATATATACACGGTAATTTGAGATGGCAAGGAGTAGATCATCGTCGACCAGATGGAGGTATATAAATCCAGCGTATTACTTGAAGCGTCCGAAACGTCTCGCATTGCTCTTCATCGCTTTTGTCTTCGTCAGTTTCTTCGTTTGGGATCGACAGACTCTTGTACGAGAGCACGAGGTACTCTCTTTTCTTTAAATAGAACATCTGTTTTTCTTTATTTGTTGTATTGTTTTATTTGATAAATATTCATTTGTTGTATTTTTAGATCTATCTTCTTCCTTTTTTTTCTTTTTTTTTTTTCCTTGGAATTTGTGTTTATTTATTCATTCTGTTTTTGGGAACATGTTTCGTTGTTGTATTGGGTCGTTATATGTCATATATACGATCTGGATGGTGAAGTGAAACATTGTTTGTCCAGCATTTTGGAATTGCTTTTATGTAATTTGAAATAATGACTTGCACCGAATTTTTCTCAGAAGAGGGGGAAAAATAATAATATTAAGTTGTGTAACTGAACAGACAATGATAGTGCAGAACTACTATTTTGTATTTGTCAATCACTTAAGTTGTGTAACCGAACAGCCAGAATCACTAAATTGTGCTGAGTTTTTTTTTTATTATTTTTTTATTTTATTTTTTTTTCAATACAATAACAATGCGCATTTTGTTCATCAACTAGCTTTTCCACATACATGTGTTGTGGAAAATTATAATGTCAAATTATTTTTAATTTTAATTTTAATTTTTATTAAGAATTTGGGGTATGGGATATTCATTTTCATTGCCTATATTTAACCAATAGATTTCTTCATGTGAGGTCCACACGATATAAACTCTTTATTCTCCATTTCTTATTTTTATTTTGCATTACATAGTCAATTAAGTATTTCACTTTGAAAAGAATTTTCCTTGAGGAAATTTACACTGATTTTGCAGATAGAGGTCTCTAAGTTGAGTGAAGAAATGAATCGGTTGCAAGATCTGGTAAGGGTTATAATTCCTTGGCTTACATACTGAATTATACATACATACATATATATACATATATACATATACATACATACATATATATATATATATATATACACACACACACATAGCGTAATTTTGCCATCTACTTTCCTTGGTAGCTATGCCCTCGTGCATCTTTATTTTGTAATTTATGGAATTTCGTTGATATGTTCGTTTTCTTCTGACCCAAATCCGAGTCAACATTTGGCCCAATTCAGCAAATGTATACTTGTTAGTTTTCAGTAAGTTTAATACACATTCTACTATCTAACATGACAGAAGAACACAGTATTAAATAGCTAAATTTTGCAAGTAATATTACAAGTTTTCATGAAAACAACCAAATTACTTGCCTACAAAAATTGTTCTTAATTCTACTGACGCGCTCGGTTTTCTTTTCACAGTGTCCTTAATCGATACACGCATCAATACACGCATCAATGAAATATATATATATATATATATATATAGAGAGAGAGAGAGAGAGAATATTATTTTTCAAATGGCTGAATATTTGTGGACTGATATATATTTGATACTCGCAGCTGGAAGAGTTACAGAATGTTCAAGGAGTTTCTGGTGCAAAAAGTGGAAAAGTCTCTAAGAAAAATGATGTTCAAGATGATCCGATTGACATTCAGCGGAGAGAAAAAGTAAAAGATGCCATGGTTCATGCATGGAGTTCATATGAAAAATATGCTTGGGGCCAAGATGAGCTTCAGGTATGATGCATCCATATGTTTAAATTATTCGACCTGCTAATGTTTGTATTTAGTTCTCATTTCTTATATTTAATGAATTTTAACGGAGTATGTAATAAGTCTTTATTCCTTGTTCCTTGAGACATGGGCTTTCTGTTCTTCTGCATGTTTCCTTTGCTGTTGCTGCCTTACTGGAACCTTTTTCAGTATTTAAGCTTCAGTTTGGGTTAACTCTTAAAGTAGAATTAGTTTATGGAAGTTTAAACTTTTATCCTCAGTTAGACTCACTTCATGCTTACAAGTTCAATTTTGGGTAAGTATGAACCTTTCTTATATTGAAGTCTTTGCTGAAAAGTTGCAAATTTATAGCATGATATGAACGGGATAACACGATGGAGTTTTAAATTGCAGTATTATTAATTTTAGGAAGTTAACAGCAATCATTGCGTGCTGATATCGTGGATGTAAGTTGGACGGCGCCATGGTCCATGAATAAATGGGAAAAAAGTGAATGACTGTTGCACAAAATGACCAGTAAACAAAAAATTGATGTTCCTGATGTGACCGATCCTAGTATCCAACAGAATTTACAAAATTTAATTTATCACATCATGCCATGTCACGGTACAAAATGATTGCTGTTTTATTGCCTATAAAGCCAGAGCAAAACTTTTTTAACATGTCCATGTTTTTACCTATTGATTTATTATTAAAATGAAAAACTCACCCTTTCTGCATGATGTTATCTGATGTAACTGTTCTCAGTATCTAGCATTAGGTACATACAGGTCTGTGAATCTACCTTTCACCATTGTTGTGGAATTGCTGGGCAATAGCCCTGGTCCTAGGTTAGAAGCCATATGGGGAATTCACCCAGATGGATCTTTTCTCACAGTGACTGCCCTATTTAGTGGATTCTATAAGAGTCGCATCTAGTTCGAGTGTTTTCTTGGTAAGAAATCATAAACACCACTCGTGTAATGACCTTAAATGCAATGACCTCTTGCCATGCCATTGGTGCTAACTGCTAACACCAGCCTATCACCACCATCATCTGAAATATCACTGCATTGCTGCAGTCACCGGATCCTCCATAACCAACTTTAGCTTGCGAACACCACTCTCCTAGTCCTTTGTTCCCACCACCATTGACTCCATTACATCGTTTCCGTCACCAAAATCACCACCTTGACCAATGGCTTTGCGAAGTTTGTGGCATTGTTATCGCTGCCACAATGGCTACTATTATCACTTCCACCCCTTCGGTACTCATGCCACAATCAATTTCACTGTCCTTGCAACTAGGCCACGGTCAATAAGACAATTTTGGACGTGTTTTACTTTAATTTCCATATACAATTTTCAGGTGTGATTGCTTTTGAGCTAACTAGGCCCCTTAATTTGAGATTGTCTGTACGGGAAGGAGGAGTAAGTTGCTGACAAAAGCTTTATAAGTACTTGTTAAGAAGTTTGTGCCATTTGTTTCGTAATTTTATGTTGGGTAATATATTCCTCAGATATTCCTAAGCATGATTTGGATCCCAGACAAATTCACATAATTACTCTGGCACATTCTTACTTCTTACACATTGAATGCAGTTGCATGGGCTAGACTCACTTAAGAATTACAATACGTGAAACATCAATTATTACATGGAAAGCTTCACTCACTCTTTAGCTTTGTTCATGGGACAAACTTGAAAGTTTTTTCCATAGAAAATGCTGGAGTGACTGATCTTAATAGGATCCAGTTTTGGTGTTGCCACGTTTATGCAATCCATATAGTACAGTATTGTTACTGTGGACAGTAGATAGAGGTTGGCTATTGGTTTGAGTGTAATTGGATGATGGAGAGAGTGTTGTGTTATTGTAATATTGAAGGGGTGGGGTGGGGGTGGGACTTCAAGGGCTGGAGAGACAGGGCGATAACCTTTTTGGTTGAAGCGGCAGGCTATTCAATCAAGTAAATGTGAATTAGATGCAGCTTTAGATTATTTTTTAAGTTTTATGTAATATTGGTAGCATCAGCTCGCTCAAGTGCTTGTAACTCCATAAGTGGTCATGAAAGCTGGTGACATTTGTAAGTCAAGCTATTACTCTTAATCAAGGCCAATTTGTTGACAACCCTGGTCACACTAGGCTGGGAACCAGGGCTTAAGGCTTTACTCCATCATTGCAACTCGTGCACTTAAATAATACTGTCCAATCAAAGATTGTATCTATGTTACGGCCCTTACGGGAACATTTGATCCAAGTAATCATCTTATGGCAGTTTACTTTTAGGCATCGCGAGATGTTGCATGCCTGATGATAATAAGTGCTTACTGCTTAAGTACCATATTCATGTTTAGTTTTTGTTCTAGTTGTTTGTTGATATCACTTCCATGTATAATGTGCTGTCACAACCATAAATTGTATGCAATACAATAAGTAGATTACTACTCACTTTTAGGTTCCTTGGTTCGGGATTGTGGATATATGGATTTAAGGATGTTAACATTTGGTATGTTGTCTTGCTTTATTATATTTTTGGTTTTTTTTTTATTTATATTTACTTGTTAATATCTTGGGGATTGGGGGATTGGAGTGTTGGGGGATTGGAGTGTTTCAATCTTTGTTATTTGCAAGATCTTACCATACTATGATAAAGAATGATAAAAAATGGAAGTAAAAAATAAGTGTTTTTTTCCTCAAAAAAATTGTGCTGCCTTTTGGTTATTGACTGTAGAATGGTTCCTCAGTGTTGAGAAATATAAGGAAATGAGATGCTCTCAGGCTTTGCTTTTAGGAGGATCTTTTTGTTTCTGAATGTTGCAACTTGCATAGTAGACCCTGCTATTTTCCTCCAATGTTTGTTCAAGTAGTCAAATATTAATTTGTGTTTAGGGACTTTAATTGTCCATCCAAGGCCAAATAAATGTGATTAACCATATTGATTTTGATTTCTCAAGACCTTGCCTTGTTTGCTAGATGGAACTTATTGAATAAGAAGTGAGAGCTCTTTTTGGCCTCCTTTATATTTTAATTACAGGGTTCTTAAATTTGACTCTGTTCAATTTCTTATATGTATCGAGCAGCTTATGGTTAGTTGACGGATTAGAAGCTAGACTGAAAGTGAAGAGTTGATGTCAAGATAAATGTCCATAGATTGAATTTTTGATAATGAATTTCATTTACCCTAAAATAAGGGCTTTTAAGCGGCTGAGTGGTTTCTGGTAGTGCAATTTGGCTGGCAGAGCAAAGAGTAGCAAGTCCATAAATTCTGTTTTACCACATCAGTGATGTTTGAGGATGAAATTCATTATTATTTATTTCATCCACTATGGAATGGTGCTGAAGTTGGTGTATATGTAGGCATCTTTGTCTATAGATGTACTGCTAGTCTGCTCCCCATCCTTTTTTCTCCTCCAACAATATTGTAGTTATATCCAGTTCTGGATATATAAGGAGAGGAATTTTATTTATTTGTTTATAAATCATGCATCTTTTTTCTGACATCTAAATATTTGTATTTTCCATCAAAAGAATTATTTTTCAGGTTTTCTATTAAGGTCGATCTTTGTTTACTTCTAATTTATGATCTGTGGACTGAAGTTCTTGTTTTTTTGGAATCAGCCACAGACAAAGAATGGTGTTGATAGCTTTGGTGGTCTTGGAGCAACTCTAGTAGACGCTCTTGATACATTATATATAATGGGTCTGGAAGAGCAATTTCAAAGAGCTAGAGAGTGAGTTTTAGCTTTCTTTCTTGTCTGTGGTTTTTAAGATATAACGCCCTTGTTTTTATTATTGTTATAATCATTGTTATTATTATTGGGATAAGTTCACGGGCCTTGTTATTCTTCTTTCAGACATTTACTACATTTTTTTTATATATATCTTTCTATAGAACCATCAAAGCAACAATTAGTTCCTTAGTTTTTGAGGGTTCCGCTGTGAAGGGGCTTCATACGAGGGCTTAATGTAGTAAAATGATTCTGCTTTCTTTCTATTACTCCAACTTATCTTTCTATATCTCCTGTAGATACTTTTGTGTCTGATAACTCTGATCAAACTAAAAACTCTTTTTTCCACTGCTTAATCCTTAGTTGAGTAGCCTTCTTTTCGTAGATTTTCAAGTCTGGTTGTCGAAAACCCATTCAGCCCCTTTCACTAGACCGATTATGTATCCTTTCAATTTTCATCTTGTCGTGTTTCTCATACGAGGAGCCGGACACGGTCTTGTCCTTTATTTAAGAATTTTGTCTCTACAATTGCTACAAAAATGTATTTTAGCATATCACTACTATTTCTTTCATAATTTTGTTTGGTTCATACGGGTTCATTAAACTACCAAGGTTTCATCCCAGTTGTATCTTTTGTACCTCCCAAAGTGGAAGATTGAGCGTTCAAGTTCTCGTAGGGGCAAAGTAGTTATTTGCCAGGAAAAAAATAATACGGGTTCATTATTTGGCATAGCGTTAAAAGCTCATACTGCAAAGTCTGAGAATCTTTGTTAGAGTTTGAGGGTAGCCACTTTATGCAAGTAATGCCAAATGTATCCCTCCCACTATTCTCCATTAAGGTGTACCAATACCGGGTAATGTTAGTATCCTATCAGCCAAGATGCATTCTTTTGCGTTGGCAATGATGAAGATCAGTATTCTCACATGAATTGGCTAAAGAATTTCCCGGATCAAGTGTTTTGGTACCATATTGAATTGATAAGACTTTTTTGTTTTGTTTTTTTGTTTTCAACGACTCCTAATACATATTCCTAGTTTTCGAAGGTCCATTCCTTATATTTCATTTAAATCACACTTCTGTTAAATCCTCTCAACTATTGAGTTTCTTTTCAAATATCTAATATTGAATAAAGTTATATTATCAAGAAATAGATGACATTATTGAATGTTATCGTGGATGTGTCTAATCAGTTCATCCTAATTAAGGGATAAACTAAGGGGCTTAATCTTAAACATGATGTAAGCCTATAATGATTGAAAGTCAGAAAATTCACTTGTTTCTCCTGAGGTTATTCATATTATAATCACAATTCTGTTATTCATGTCGTTAGGCTTCACCGTGTCAAAATATATAGGGTCAGTTGTGAAAAGCTCCTTAAACTATTTCCCATTGTGCACAAAACCTCCTTTAACTATCATGTTTAGTTGCAGATAGACCCCTTATGTCATTTATATAATTTTATAATGGAAATGCTGTCATGTGCAGGTCACATGGCATTTAATATGACAAAAATGCCCTTGGGCATTTCTGAATGTTTTGGCTTTTCCCCCCTTTTTTATGGTTCAACATATATGGGTTGCCTTTGACAGTGACTTGAAGGCATGGCCTTATTAACAGATTTTTCCTACTTTAGGGTGGTGATATTCGCAATACCAAGGGATCATATGCAGAACACTATTAGTTCAAGGGAGTTTTTTTGGCAATTTAACTATATACGTCTATATGTGACTTCTTCATTTTCAAATTCCTGGCGAAACAATAAAAAAGTTCTTATTTTCTCCACTGTTCTGTTAATCTTCTTAATTTGTAAATAGCTTCCATTTTTTACTTTTATGGGATATCCAACTTGAATTTCAGCCCTATTTTCTCGAGTGTTAACCTTTATTCAGTCACTTCTTCCCAAAACCTTATCCTTTCGTGATCACTAAGGCCTTCTAAAAATCAAGGCCCTTGTCCAAGCTAAATATATTTCAGCTTTACGTCAAAGTTTGACGAGCATCACGGTTGATGATTCTTTGGTTTCATCCGTGATAGATAAACTGGAGTAATTGAAGTGTAATTGAGGCTCTTTGTTGTTTCGGAGGACCAAAATCGTTAAGATCTTATTTGACGTTACTCACTTTTTCCAGTTACTTTTTGAATAGTATTTAAATAAGTTATATGTAAATATGTTCGACCTGCCATCCTCGTCCTCTCCAATTTTAGTTTTACTTTCTTCATCTTCACTTTCTGTCACCATGTTTGGTTGTCGGTACGGAGATTTAGGGCTTCCTTTTAAGGATATGCAATCAGTAGACGTACGGTTTAATAAACCTTTCAATTGCTCTTTATATACTCTTTTAATAGCTCAAAATGGTGGGAAGTGGGGACAGAGGTTGATTAATCTGAGGGGATTGAATGCAAGAAGCTCTTGATTCTGCAAGTGCTTATGTGGTTAACTGAATTAGTTTCCTATCCTCTTACCCTCTCCTTTAGCCATTTTTACTGTTCGGAATCTAGTTTCTCTCTCTGTTTTAGTTTTGCTGCTCTGTTTGTTTCTGTATCTACTGTAGCCTATTCTCAACTAAATTCACTTTATTTGCCTCCACAGTCTGGTTTCTCTCCAGTTTCCTAATTTAATTGTTGTTCAGACTCTCTCTTATCTTATCTTGCAAATTCTACTTTCCCATTTTCTCTCATAACTAATATCAATTTATACATATGTACATCCAGATATGGTTATAGAGGTGGTGCTGGTAATTTTTATTTCTGATTTTTTAAAAGATTATTATGTATAGCCTAGTTTCCTGTTTGATACTGATATGCCATTCATGACAGGTGGTTGCCAAGTCATTGGATTTTAACAAAAACTTGACTAGTGTTTCCCATTACTTTGAAAGATTGTTATTTATAAAGATTCATTGTCTGCTTGATATTAAAGTGCTATTTGTGGCAGGTGGGTCGCAAACTCATTGGATTTCAACAAAAACTATGATGCTAGCGTTTTTGAGACAACCATAAGGTTGCTTTATAAGGTTTAATGTCTTTTTTTTTTTCCTAATGAAGCATGACATGCTTCGAGAGTTTTGCATCTATCTAATCATCATAGGTTGAGAGAGCTCAACTGTACTGATAAACAATGTCTAATTCAATACTATCCAGAGTAGTGGGCGGACTTCTTAGTGCTTATGATCTCTCCGGTGACAAGGTTTTCCTCGAGAAAGCTACAGACATTGCAGATAGACTGCTGCCTGCATGGAATACTCCTTCTGGCATCCCATTTAATATTATCAACTTGGAACATGGGAATGCACATAATCCTGGATGGACTGGGGTAGGTTCTAAACATTGTTACGTGCTGTTCAAATTTTCTGACTATAGGATAAAGTTAATTTGGATTTCAATTTTTTATTTATTTTTTGTTCAACGGCATTTCTGTAAAATGTTATTTCATGTAGTTCATAAATCTTCTTTTGGACTAGTGCCTAGAAAGGACATTTATGAATAGACTTGGGATGATGCATGGACATAACATGAAGCCTGGACAATATCCGAATAGTTGTTACAGTGTCCAGCACGTATTGGATAGACAGTGCTGGTAGTAGTCAAGCACATATTTTCTATGTTTTCCAGTTTTCTGATCAAAATGTCAAAGACAACTGCATGTTTAGCCCTCTCTCGTCATGATGTCAATAATACTTCACATTGGTTTATGTGCCCGTCATTTGGTCCCTTGCACACGCTTATTCATGTTAACGTTGTGAAATTGCTCTTAGGTGTTTTACGACATAGGTCATTTGAAAAAAAAAGACATAGGTCATTTGAGATTTTTGTATAATTATTATTAACAAGTGTTCTCTGTTCTTAGGGTGACAGTATCTTGGCAGATTCTGGCACAGAGCAGCTTGAATTTATTGCTCTTTCTCAAAGGACAGGAGATCCAAAGTATCAGCAGAAGGTATATTTCTCCTATTCTTAGGATGCAGTGCAATGGAATATGTATGTTCGTTGATCAGCTTCATTCAAGTCGTCATTTGTATCTTTTATTGTCAGAAGAATCTAAATCATATGGAAGAATGCTAATTATAAACATCTTTGTTTGATTTGGAGCTTCTATTTTATGATAGAAATTTTATTTAGCTGGGAATGGAACAGATCATTGGCTTCAATTTATGGTATGAATTACATTGATGTTTCAGGCAGAGAATGTTATACTGGAGCTTAATAAAACCTTTCCTGCTGATGGTTTACTTCCCATCTATATTAATCCCCACAGAGGGACAACATCATATTCAACTGTAACTTTTGGAGCCATGGGGGACAGGTATCTTACCATTCAATAGTTAAATATGATTTATGTGAATTTCAATGAGCTCCATATCACATTGTTTATGGGTGTCAGCCTCTGTTTCTTAATCTATATCTGTTAAAAAACTATTCATACTAACAGTTTTTCTCTATAAGCTTGATCATGGCATGGTTAATGTGCATATTTTGGCTGCAGCTTTTATGAGTACTTACTCAAGGTTTGGATACAAGGAAACAGAACTACTTCTGTAAAGCTTTATAGGTGAGAAAACTTTACCATCCTTTTTCTGCCTCAGTTAATCTTCAACCACTGGAAAAAGTATAACCAAATTTCTCATAGGCATATTATTTATTAATATGAATTATGAATCATTATATTTCAGCTAGAGTTACTTTTCAGGTAAAATTACTACTGCTGTGCTATTGAAAATGTTTTTAACAAGCACAATACTTTCTCCCTCTCATCCTCTTTTCTCAGATTAGAGTGGAAGTTGGTTAATGTTTATGTTGAAATGTTAACATGGAGCCAATCCTTTTAGTTGTATCAGGAAAATATCTCATTTCTTTTGCTTGGTTTTGTTTTGAAGAAGATAATTTTGTTTTTAGTATTTCAGATATGTATTCTATTAATTTTAACTTGACAACATTTTTCTTTCTAAATTTGTGAAATTGAAACTGAGATGTCTAGAACAACAATCTCTTTTTCCGACAACTTCCTGATGGGAAAGTATTTTAATTGGAATTCTGAATGCAGAGAAATGTGGGAGACATCTATGAAAGGGCTGCTAAGCTTGGTTCGGAGAACTACGCCATCATCTTTCACATATCTCTGTGAGAAGATGGGGAATTCTCTAACTGACAAGGTAATTTGAGTACCAGGACAGGTAAAGGGAGAATGTTGCGATAATAATCTACTATATAGTATTTTGATTGCTTTTCTGTTGTTCTCCTAATATATGCAGATGGATGAATTAGCATGCTTTGCTCCAGGAATGCTGGCCTTAGGGTCATCTGGGTATGGTCCGGACGAATCTCAGAAATTCCTTTCACTTGCAGAAGAGGTATTTATTAACTTCTCAAGAAAAAGAAATTTTAAATAATATCGTGCTTCATAATTGAGATGTGATACTGAGAAAACTTTTTGAGTGGGCATTTTTGCTCTTTAACATGAGACTGAACTAGACTAGTTCATTGACAAAGACTGCAGAAAAATTGGATTCCTGTATCAGAACTGAAGTGGTTGAGAAAAGGCTTTGATTGTTGTAGTTGTATAACCACATGTATGAGACATTTATGTTTGTATTTTCTTTTGTCCACTTAATCTTTTACTCATCATTTTTTTCTTTCTTTGAAAAAGAAAAAGGAAAAAGGAAAACTCGATTTATTTACATATTAATTTCTTTAGTTGAAAAGAGATTTTGTTGATCTCCTGTTATGGCTTTTTCTTCTTGTTTTACTTGTGTGCGTGAAGCATTTATGTTTTGTATGTTATCATCTAGAATTTCATCTGCTTAATTCTTTTACTTAGTCCTTTTTTTTTTTCTTCTTCTTCTTTTTCGTAAAGAAATGTTGATGAATAGAGAGTTTGTTGGTCCACTTTCATGGTTTTCCCTTTCCTTGTCTTTGTTGTACAAAGACTTACTATTAACCCTTAACAAACTTTCTTTATCATCCTTCTGCTAAAAAAAATCTTCTTCCATAATCTGAACCCCTTTCTACCTTCAATTCTTAAATTTTAATTTGTTAATGTTTCCAAATATCAGGAAGCTATTCTTTCTGTAAACCTTGCACCTTTGCCGTCAAGATGGCTTCTATTTTGTCCTGATTCCATTTACAAGCGATTTTACTTTTGCTCTGCCTTCGTAAGCATTAATACATTAAGGTACTCTAAACCTTATCTCGCCAGTTAAGTAATGAAGACAGCAGTATGTTAAATTTTTGGTTCTTTCTTGCATTAAATGTGCACTAGGAGGATAGGTTTAGCCAGTTGAGTAACTGACCATGCATTTTCTTTTACTTTGACGATAAATTGTCAAAAATTACTGGTGCCATGGGCAATGGCTGATGGAAGCAATTGTGCTTTTATTACGCCCTCTCACCGAGAATTCTTTTCAATGACGTGTTAGTAAAATATTAATGTGGCATATACTGTTCTGCAGATCTCAGGCCTAAAAAATTCTTTACCTTATTCCGTCCTTATGTTTCTTTTTTCCTTTTTCTTTCAATTGGTTTTCTCTTTTATGTGTGTTTTTACTTCATTTTGCCATTGCTTGTGAGAGCAACTATAATCTTTTTCGCTTTTGTGTTTTTATGAAATCCAACTCTGCTTATGTCTTCCAAGTTCTGTCTCTCTTTTTCTCATGTTTGTTAACAACCATCTACTCCAAAAGCTTAAGCTATTAGAGATGGTGTAACTCGGCGTGCAAACGAACCGAGCCGAGCTTTGGGCAGCTCGGGGTCGGCTCGCTTTGTTAGATATGTCATATGTCATATGTTTGGCTGTAGTCTTCTAATTTTAGGGTGTAGTCTTATCTCTTAACATACCGAAATCAACGGTTGAGATGGAATCTAAATTTATGATGGGCTAATGAATTATAACTCCTTGGGCCTGATTAATGAAAGGAGGTGAATTGGGCTGAACATATATTGTATGGGCTAAACTAGTTTATCATGAAATAAAAATATATATGAGCCTTAACTAGCCTTGTTCATGAGCTTTAACGAGCCCGTGTTCACGAGCCTATACGAGCCGAGCCCAACATTGTTCGGGCTCGGTTCGTTTACTAATTAGACTAGAATTTGGGCTCGGGCTCGGCTCGTTTGCTTAACGAACGAGCCGAGCCCGAGCCATTCATGAAAAACTCGGTTCATTTGCAGCCCTAGGTGTAACTTAAATATATAAATCTTTCCACATGCCCCCTCACGTGTGGCCTTCTTTTGGTCGAAGACGTGTTTTTAAATTTTTAATTAAGGTGACAGTGAGGCTTGAACTCGACAGCTTTGTCTTTGATACTATATTAACAATCATCTACTCCAAAAACTTAAGCTGTTAGAGACAGAGGGTGTAACTTAATTATATAAATCCTTCAATAATGTTGATGTTTTCTTTCTATTATTGTGTTAGTTTAAAGAGAATTTGGATAGGTTCTGTCTATGTTGATGACTTGGTGGACTCATGAAATGTGTGAAGCATCTTGTCAAACATGACAGACTTGTGGGTACAAAACAATGCTACCCAGAAGGTGGTTTGCTGTGAGTGCTTGGGATTGGAACTAGCACACTTAAGCTGCTTGTTCCAATACTGGGAGCGCCAGGATTGGCTTATGGAGCTTGTATAAGTTACTTAAGTCGTGGTTATTTGTTTTTAAATGCAAACCAACTCTCTTTTCATTTAGTTAATAGATCAGGATGCATGAAATTATGTCCACAAAATGCACAAAATTTTGTATCATTTGGAAGCATGCTTGATATGAAGATTTTGTGAAGGCACAGCACTCTTTATATATGCGTGTGTAGTACATATTTTGGTCAGTATCTTGATGTGTTGTGTCGTTATGTCTCTTGCCCTTTCCCCTCAAACTTTGCAGTCTGTTACGTTTTAAATCCATGACTTTTATATTGATTTATTGTATGATGAACTGAAACTATAGTAGGAAATATTAAAAGAAAACTTGGGGTGTCACCAATCAAGTTAAATTTGAGCAGAAGTAACATTGAGCAGAATTAAGTGTAGGGTTTTACAGGACTTATCAAAAAAAAAAAAAACGTGTAGGGTTTTACAGGATTATATATGCAAAAATAAATTATAATTAGCTAAAGCTTTCACTAGTTTTATTTAGACAGGGATGAGGAGCCTTTATTCTAGACAATTATTGATTATATCAGATCTCCTCTCTGGTGTAAAATCTAACAGGTTTTGTTTATTTATTTATTTATTAATATTTAAAAAATAAAATAAAAACACAACATACAGTCATACACTATTAATATGTCTTATTAAATAATTACCATACAGTCATACACTATTAATATGTCTTATTAAAGAATTACCTTAGAAGTGGACCATTGGATATGGAAGGTGCCTCTTAATGTCACTGGGTCACAAGGCACGCGGTATCTTGATATGCTTTTTACTTGCACTGGCTTCTCAGTGCCGTTTTATTAGTTGTCTAAGACATCTTTTTGCACTTTGTTCACTGGGTTCTCAGTGTCGTTTTATTTATTTATTTAGGGAGTAGATTCATTTGGTCGAGAGGTTTATTTAAAAGTTCTTACCTTTTCATCATGGGCACACAAACCAGTGCATGGTGTACGAGTTTAAGATATAATCAAATCAAATCAAGAGTAAAGTATAAGAAAAAAGGATGAGAGAAAAAGAGAGGAAGATGGGGAAAGAGATAAAGAATGAAAGAATACTTTCATCCTTCCACCACATTCTATTTATACTTACAAGTTTTAGAAATTACACATAAGTCCCAATATTATATAAGTAATAACAAATAAGCCCTTGACAACACTTACCCTGCAGCTTGTGCAAAGATATTTATCATGCCCAGCTTAACTAACTTATTTTGCAAGCAACTCTTGCTCACACCCTTAGTCAGTGTGTCGACGTATGGAGTACAAATCAGCCCAAGACGAAGCTTTTCCTTGATGAATTGTCAATCGACTTCAATGTGCTTTGTCCTGTCATATTGAACTGGATTGTGGGCAATGCTAATAGCAACATTATTGTCACAATACAACTTCATTGATTTGCGAACAGGATAACCCAACTCACTCAACATCGTTTGTAGCTATAACATCTCACAAACTCCATGTGCCATGGATCTGAACTCAGCCTCTGCACTAGATCTAGCTACTACAGACTGTTTCTTGCTTCGCCATGAAACAAGATTACCTCCAACAAATGTGCAATTTCCAGAAGTAGATCATCAAGCTGTCACACACCCTGCCTAATTAGCATCAGTATAGGCTTCAACACGCAAGTGGCTATGATGGCCGAATAATATTCCCTTACCAGGTGAACCCTCGAGGTAGCGAAGAACACGATGAGTTGCCTCAAGGTGAGGTGTACGCGGAGCATGCATAAATTGACTAATCACACTAACAACGTAGGCAATATCTGGATGCGTTAGAGAAAGGTAAATCAGTTCCCAACCAATCACTGAAATCTTGCCACATCATCTAATGGGTCCCCATCTACATCATTAAGCCTATGGTCTAGCTCCCTGTCTCTAACACATACTTCCGTTGAGAAATGAATACCCCTTTCTTTGATCTGCACACTTTGATGCTAAGAAAGTATCTCAATAATTCGAGGTCTTTAACCTTGAACTTTGTCCCCAAGAATGACTTCATTCGATGGATTTCCAGTGATAACAATATCATTAATATACACAATAAGGACAATGGTGCAGCCCTGGTGCTTCTTGATGAAGAGAGTATGATCTGCCTAACTCTGTGTGTACCCTACTTCTTTCACGGCAGTGTTGAATCTCTCAAACCAAGCACGTGGCGACTGTTTTAACCCATTCAAGGCGTTATTTAGCTTGCACACTAAATTCTGCCCGCAAGCTTCAACCCTGGTGGCATAGTCATATACACCTCTTCCTCCAAGTCACCATAAAGGAAAGCATTCTTTACATCCAGCTGATGTAAAGGCCATGGCCTCCAAAGAAAGGAGGACAGGTATTGAGTTCATCTTGGCAACTGGAGCCAATGTTTGCAGATAATCAATCCCATAGGTTTGAGTGAAGCCTTTTGCAACTAACTGGGCTTTATATCTCTCAATTGTTCCATCTGCATAATACTTTATTGTGTAGACCCATTTGCAGCCTACTGGTTACCTTTAGGTAATGGAAAAATATCCAAGTACCATTCTTCTCAAGGGCCTTTATCTCTTCAATCATGGCTTCCTTCCATGGAGTTTGAGTAAGAGCATCTGAAACACTAGAAGGAATAGATAGAGGAGATACACGAAGTGAAAGCACGATATGTTGGAGATAAGGCATCGTAGGATACAAACTGAGATATGAGATGTTTTTTACAACTACAAACACCCTTACGATAGGCAATAGGGACATCAAGATCAACATGAATGTTATTGGGAAAAGAATCAGGAGTATCAATGTCAACGGAGAAATTACCTGGATCGAGAGAGACTTCTTAGTCCCAGGGTGAGTCCCCTCCTAGTGTAGACAATTGACTGCTTTCCCTGCTACAAATCATTAGTGTTAGGATGACTAGACGTAGGCACCTCAGTAAGAAGCTCCACCTGAATGGGAACAGGCAAAGCAAGGGGGCATTTCCTCTTAATGGATGACACATTATCTACTTGTATAGTATTTCTCCCCTTGTAGAGAATCCCGAGCAGTGGAAAAAAAGGAACAAACTCAAATAATGTAACATTCATGGAGACAAAGCGACGATGAGTGGTAGGGTTATAACACCGATACCCTTTATGGGGGTGGAGTATCCAATAAAGACGCATCGGATTGCCTTAGCGGCCATTTTGCCCTTGTGATGATGAATGTGAACATAACAAACACAACCAAACACTTTCGGAGGGACAGTATTCAAAGGCAGTGTTATGGTGTAAGACAGAGGAGGGGGATTAATAGCCAAGAACCTTAGAAGGCATGCGATTGATAAGATATGTAGCTTTTAAGGTTGCATCAGCCCAATAACGTTTAGGCACTCCCATCCCAATTAGAAGAGGTGTTTTCTTTCAGCTACACCATTCTGTTGTGGTGTATCGACACAGGAAGTTTGATGGACAATACCGTTATCAGCAAAAAAGGAGGCAAGACTACCATACATAAACTCTCCTCCATTATCAGATCGAAGGATTTTGAGGGGACAACCAAACTGAGTACACGCCATCCCATGAAAAGTTTTAAAAATGGAATGAACTTCATCTTTGGTTTTCATAAGATAAAGCCAAGTATATCGACAAAAATCATCAATAAACACAACAAAGTAACGAAGACCAAGTAATGAATTAGTATATTCAAGACCCCACGTATTAGAATGAACAAGCTGTAAAGGAGCTGTACTTGTATTAATAATAGTAGGATAAGAAACACGACATTGTTTGGCAAGAATGCATGTTTCACAATTTAACTCAAAAGATTCAACAGAAGAAAACTTGGGAAGCACGTGCTTCAAAACAGGAAAAGGTAAATGACCTAGTCTATTATGTCATCGCACTAACAGATCTTTATTGATATTAATATTCCTAACACTAGATTGATTTGCAACATAATAAGAAGTTGTCCTCGCATTCAACAAATACAAGCCATTATCGTCACTTCCACTTCCGATCGTCTTCCCCGTGTCCAAATCCTCAAACACACAGTAAGGAGGTTACATTACAATTTAAGCCTTTTGTAATGTTACTGACAGAAAGGAGGTTATTGGTAAACTTTGGGACATGAAGAACAAAGGATAAGGTAAGATTAGGAGAGGTAGAATCAGTGACCTTCCCCGCAAAGAAGGTGAAGATGCCATCAGCCACTTTAACCTTATCCTTACTAGAACATAAATTGTATGAAGAAATATTAGATGTCATACCAGTTTTGTGATCAGTGGCTCCATAATCAATGATCCAGAGTGGCCCACCAGATAATGTGGAAACTTGATGTGCCGAATGAGAGGTACATGTCTAAGCGAAGTTAGAGGTGGAAATGGAGGCATGTTGTGCTGGTAGATATCGGAGAGCATCAAGTTCAGCCTGAACAAAGAACTTGGTGGCCCTGAGGAGGCATGACCAGTAGAAGCAGTCTCACACTTTGTTGTATGTGCCATAGATAACCCTTTAAATGGACCAAGCCTTGGCCTAGCATTCGCATGAGTAGGAGCTGGAGTGGGGTGACCGTGTACATTCCAGCATGTTTCCCTAGCGTGGTGCGCACGCCCACAGTGATCACACCTCAACTTGCTCTTGTCATCTTGCTTCCCTCCTTTTGGAAAATTAGGTTTGTTTCATTGTTGTGTGGCAAGAGCAGGCTTCTCAGACAATGGTACTTCTAGCTCAGGCTAAGTGTATACAGGTACAAACATAGCCTTTATTCTACTCTCCTTGGCTTGGATATACGAAAACACATCTCTAACATAAGTGGGGGGCTGAATACCTTTTATTTATTTTTTTGATAAGTTAAGTGGGGGCTGAAAACCTGCCTAACACTTTTACCCTAGCATGCTCGTATCTCGGATGCAAACCACCCAAGAACTCATAGATTCGATTCATTTCTACCATAGCATGAAATGCTTTAACATCAGCTGCACACATAGGTATGTAGTCTTGGTAGTGATCTAACTTTTCCCATTTATCATGCAAAGTGTGGTAATATGTTGCAAGAGTTTGGTCTTCCTGCTTGAATCTTGAAATCCGTTGTTGGAGTTCATACAGCTTTGTAAAATTACCAACTGAGGAATACGTCTCTTCCACAGCCGTCCATAGCTCTTTAGCTATTTTCACAAACAAAAACCCTTTGCTGATCTGTGGCTGCATTGACTGCAACAACCACGTCATAACTAGTGCATTATTTGCACTCTACTCTTTGAGTTTTGGATCACTCTTGGAGGGATACATGATAGTCCCTTCGATATGGTCGATCATCCTATGACCAGTGACATGCATACGAGCAGATTGAGCCCACTCCATATAGTTCGTCTCATCCAGCCTAACAGTGGTAATACAAAAGCCTAGATGGTAATCACTACTACCTCTCACTACTGGAGTCAGATTAGGAGAAGACCTAGTTTCTTTTGAAGTCACCTCTGAGCTAGACATTTTATCAAATAGTTTCTGAGTATACAATCCTCATAAACAAAAATAGCAACAAAATAGGTAGAGAACCACCTTTCTAACACACAAACAACTACAACTAGAGAGATTACTGTCTTCTGAGATGCATAAAAAAGCGACCACAGTCACCAGACAAACCCTAGAAAGCAACAAAATAGGCCATTCCAAAATTGCGAATGACGAAGAAAAAGCCGTTGTTGCACAACCACATGAACGTGAAAAAAAACAACCTATCGAGACTACAATCAATCAACAGTACTTCCTTGCAAATAAATCCCATCTTGAAATCTCTTCAAAACCCTTCACACCCACTAGGATTTACACAAACTTGCCATAGGGTTTCAACTACACACCTAAAGCTTTACAAACCATGCTCTGATACCATGTTGACTTTAAGAGATAATCAAATCAAGAGTAACGTATAAGAAAGAGAGAAGAAAGAGGATGAGAGAAAATGAGAGGGAGATGGGGAAAGAGAGAAATTCCACCACATTCTATTTAAAAGAATACTTTCATCCTTCCACCACATTCTATTTATACTAACAAGTTTTAGAAATTACACATGGTCACTCCATTTTCTGTCTACGGAGATTATTTGCAGTCATTACCACCATATAATGTTTTGTGCCTCAGAAGCAGTTAGCCTTTGAGCCTTTGATTGGATCTTTCACCTCTTTATGCAGCTTGCTTGGACATGCTATAACTTCTACCAGTCAACGCCAACTAAATTGGCCGGAGAGAACTATTTCTTTCATGCTGGGAAGGTTAGTTATATATTTTTTCTTGTGCTATTTATTGAACTATTTCTGTTACTGTTTGATGTTTATTCCATGTACCAAATTTACAGGACATGAATGTGGGTACATCATGGAACATATTGAGGCCAGAGACAGTTGAATCACTCTTTTACCTCTGGCGTTTGACTGGTAACAAGACATACCAAGAGTGGGGCTGGAACATATTTCAAGCATTTGAAAAGAACTCCCGCGTAGAGTCAGGATATGTTGGATTGAAAGATGTAAGCACTTCTCAAACCCATAATCTCAGACATCCCCGGAGTTTAAGTTCTAAATGTTTATTTCTGGTTACCTTTTTAATATATATATATATATAGCCCATCTAAGTGGTTTCTTTGTTGATTGATCATCCCCATGATTAGCAAACACCAATTAGGTGCCATTCACTGTCCATGGTATTGATCAACCTTACTTTTTCTTCCAGAAACAAAGCCATCTGTGTCGGATTTAAAATTATTTAATGGGTTTTTGGAACACGTTTTATTCTTTTACGAATCAAATTTTCCTTTTTAGTAAAAGCCATTAGCCAATTTTGCTGTCACCAATGCTGGGTGCTAGCATGGGCAAACCTGACTTTTGGTATCTTTAGCACAAAGTTTCTTCCCTTGTAATTGAGCCTGCATTTTCACTTTATTCATTTTTTCCTTTTTTTCCTTGCAAAATAATCCCCTTATATTAAGATTGTTGGATGAAGCCCATCAATCAGTGTCGGTCTTGACTCTATAGTGTTTTGGGAGGAAAAGTCAGAAGATAGCCTAACCTTTGGCATCATTATACTAAGATTGTTGGATGAAGCCCATCAGCCAGTGTCAGTCTTGTCTATGTAGCATTTTGGGAGGAAAAGTTGGAAGATAGCCTAAGCTTTGGCATCATTATGCACAAAGTGATCACTGACGTGTCCTCACATTTGTCAACCCAAGCTTTTTACCATTTCCATTGGATCTAGTTTATTTAGCATTTTGTGTATTTTCTCCATGCACATACTGTGTGATCGAGATTAAAAATGTTAAATATGTGTTGAGTTATTCATGTTGTTGTGAGTGGATTGTCTTCCTAAACATTTAAAAGGAATATAGATACAATAGTCTTTTGCTTGTGCAAAACCTTGATTATAATTTATAAGGCTTATCTCAGTTGTTAGAATATGCAATGGCTATGACTTGCAGTCATTTGATTGCATTAGTTTTTTGTTTTTTTGGGAATGTGGATATTGTTGACTTTTGTGATGATTTGGTGAATACTTCATGCTCTGTGTGATGCAGTCCCACATTATTAGTTACCTCATTTTAACCCCAGTTGACATTGTTTATTTGTATAATTCACTCTAGGATATTAAAAAATGAATTCCTGCTAACTTATAAAAAAAATAATAATAATAAATTAAAATTGAATTCCTGCTAGTTAGCAATATGTAATTCATCTTTGGAGGCTGTCTTGTCTCCAAAGACAGTGAAGTATTGTCTTTTAACGTAAAGGGAATTTGTTACTTCTGTACAAATTTCAAGGAAGGATTTGGAGAATTAGGAGGACTTTTAAATATTATAATCGTAAATTCCATTCAGTTGGTGTTGCCACTTTTGTACAAATAAGAGAGCCATACTAGTAGTTTTATGCTAACAGAATGTGGCACCCTTTTTGGTAACTTAAGAGCACTCAGAATGGAAGAAATTGAAAATGGTTACAAATGGTAGCCTTTTTACTGCTTTTTTAATTTGCCTTTCATTTACTGCTGATTGCTGGTGCTTCCAGGTTAATACTGGTGTCAAAGACAATATGATGCAAAGCTTCTTTCTTGCGGAGACACTCAAGTATCTTTATCTTCTCTTCTCACCCCCTTCAGTCATCCCACTGGACGAGTGGGTTTTTAACACGGAAGCGCACCCTCTAAGAATCGTCACCAGGAATGATGAGGTACAGAATTCTGGTGGATCAAAAGGATCGAATGAACAACATGAACCAACTTTTAGGTCACGTGCTAGGAAAGAAGGTCGATTTAGTGGTCATTAGGATTTTTGAAGTTTTAAGATTTTTAATAGGCCATTTCTGAATTCCTCATGAAATCAGTTTTTCAGTCGAGACTTCTGTATTTTTAGGGATTGCTTTATCTTAGAGTTATTCCATGGATGCCTGTCATTTTGAAATCGGCCGATACATCATAGATTAGAGGTTGTTCACTGTTGCATAACTGTTTGTAATATCATATAAGAGACTCTGTATGGATGATTCAGTTTCAAATTTCTGATATGTCAACTAAAGCTTGAATTGTAACTGAGGCTTCTTACTCTTCCAATTCTGATTGTACTTGGTTCCGGTTATAATTCATTATGAGGTACATGCTGAGATGTCGCTCATTGAATATTCAATCTTCATTGTGATTAAAACAGACTAGGCAAAACATCAGGTTTGCCTGTAAAGTCTTTTATTCTTGGAGAAATTTTTTATGTACTTTTGTTTGAATTTTAGGTTAGGTATTCAACGGTAAAGTAAGGCATTCGGCTTTTAAAATTTATTCAAATCTTTAATGGAACTCAATTGTAAGTGAGATTTAATTTGTGTTAACAAAACTAAATACTATATTGAGTTTTATCTAACCATACTTGCATTGCATGCCCAGGTAACTTTCGGTACATAGAACATTATCTCTCCTACTAGTACTCTGTTGTGGCCAACCAAACATGAGAAGTGTGAGAGTAAAATAGTCCAACACAGATGGGGCAATGCCACGTCATCCCATAATTACCCGATTCTCTCTCTCCTGGTTCTTTTTTTCAACGTGGATGGAGGATATTAGGTTTCTTTGTACCTTTTACCTGTCTAATGTTCAATTCTAATTTCATTTTTAGGGTGGGTTTGTGCCTTTTCTTCACCAATTGTTGAATCATACCATCAATGTATGTTCACTTGTTAGATTGAACTCATTGGATTTTCAAAAACAGAGCATTAAATCAAACAACAAACATGGGTTTTTAGAGATAGAGGTATAGATATAGATAAAGATAAGAGACAAACAGGCATAAACAAAGAGGCAAGAGACATGGAGATACAGATATAAAATCGTAAATTAATTACGGTTTCAATCAATTATTCAATGTCCCTCAACTCTATTTCTTTGTATATTTTCTTCGCAATTTTCAATTATACCATCAAATTAGTTATCTTCGCCTTTGCAATCTCTTCACCATTTTACCATTAGCAGTGTGTCTTTACCTTAAACCTTGCGAAGGTTTAAAGAAAAAATAATAATAATCAAATCCATTCAATTTTGATATCGTATAAAAAAATATTGCCTGAAGATTATAACTACGGATATAGAGATAAAGCAGAAACGAAGAGGAAGAAGATGGATACAGAGGTAGAAATAGTGATAAATGGATAGAGATAGATATAGGTATAATAAATAAAGCAAAAACGAAGAGGAAGAAGAAAGAAGATAGATACCGATAGAAATAGTGATAGAGGTAAATGGATAGAGATAGAGATAGAGATAGAGATAGAGATAGGTATAATAAATAAGGGAGTGATGCGGCATTACCACGTATGAATCGGACTATAGGCTGATTGGGTCAGACAGAGTACCTACTCGAAGTGAAAAGTTAGAATGGACATTCCATCCAAGCTAGGATAAGAATCCTCTTTTAATCCAAATTTCGTGCATTTCATTCAATTGGCAACTTTTTTAATGAGTTCCTTCGTCAGCAATCCTCGCGTGTAAAATCTATACCGTGTAAAAAAATACCTGTGCTTGTTTGAAGGTATGCTATATTTCAGATTTGGTAGTGGTGGTGTAGCCACATAGAGATAAGTGAGGGCAGCTGATCCTACTGAATTTTTATTTTTTTAATTTTTTTTAATTTTATATGAAAAGATTATTATATTTGTATAATTATCCACACTAAAAGTTGAAATTGTACATATATATACTCTATATATATATATAACCAAATGACCATTCATGGTATTATAAAAAAAAAAAGAATATAATCTTTCTAAAAAATATGATATTTTTTTCACTTTCTCAAAATATTATATTCTTTCCCTCTTTCCCCAAAAATACAAAGGAATATAATCTTTCCACAAAATATGATATTTTTTTTCACTTTCTCAAAATATTATATTTTTTCCCTCTTTCTCAAAAAATACAAGATATTCTTTCACACTTGTGACTTTACTATAAACAAATACATTATTAATTTTCATCACATTTTCAATGTTCAACATTTTTCTTTCGGCGAGCCTTCAATATTTCAAAAATTCACAAAATTCAAACAAATATTGCAGAGATATATATTTTTTTATCATCTAAATTTACTATTATTATGCCATGAACATTTTGAAAACTCGGCTGCTCGCTCTCAGAATATAAAAAATATAATATTCTCAAATATTTAGAACTATTTAATTTAAAAATTGCCCCCACCGAAGGAAATTTCTGGCTACGCCACTGTTTGGTAGTAATCTTAATATGTGAACTAGATAGTAAAAATTAAAGAAAACCAAAACCCAGAGTTTTAGGTGGTTGTGTTGACGCATAGCTTCAACAGTTCAATGATACAGACTCATATTAAAAAAAAAAAATTTCAAACAAATACACGCCCAGAGTATTATTGTCCCTTAGCAAGGCTTGATCACTCAAGCTTGGAGAGATCATACGGAGCTGATTCAAAGAGATTGACCAACTGTACTAGATTAGCAAACTCGTACAACTCAATGAACCTTCAAGAAAGCATCAAATGCAAGCTTTAGATGAACCTCACACGTCGACCTGTACGTACAGTTAATCTCTCTTTTGTGAACTTGCAATTCAAAGAAGATTCGTTCCGCAATTTCATATAAAAAAAATAAAAAATCAGCATGCAATTTAGCTTGGCAACCATCAAATCAGTTCTACAGAGTCCATGACTGGAATTGGAGAGGAGTTGTAGAATGGCTGATACCGCAAGAGATCTTTTAATTTCAAGCGCCCAATAAAAGTTGTTCTTTGTTGCATTAGTTTTTTCAGAGCCCTTAACCTAATAAAAATTTGTAATTTCCAAGTCAGTAATAATTTGAAACTTTAACTCATTCAACAAAGCATTTCAGATACATATCATATAGTAGCCACTGTTACTGATCCCTATTCACAAGTATGCCCGTGTTGTCTCTTAGCAACACTCAAAATAATAAGCCTCAAATGCTATTGATTTAAAGTAGCTGATAATTAAAAACCATTCTACACACTGTTCATGCACACGCACACATTAAAAACAGTTTCGTATATAGTTTTGAAAGAGAAGCAAGCACCTCAACATCATTCATCCTTCACTGGATACTTTCCATTCGAAATGTTAGTTGAAGCACCTGCAGTAGAAGTTGAACTGCTGCTGCTAGTGTCCTGGAAGCTACGAGCCGGATCGCCATATGATTGAGTACCAGGCCACCTAGACAAAGATGACCATACACAGCTTAGCTTTTGTTGCAATGTCAATACATGTTGATGAAGATTACATGTGCTTCAATTTTATTGTACCTGCTTGCCCGTATAGTCTCGCCATTAATGGTCATTTTTTCGTCAAATACATTGCCTGCAACAATGGCATATAAACTCAATGATTACATCATTACCTAGTTCATGTGACGCCTAGACAGGGTGCTAGGAGTAGAGTTCTGAAGACAGACCCACGAAGTGACTTCTTTCAAGAGAAGTAATGGAAAAACATAAAAGAAGACTGCGATGGAAATGAGAGTGTTCAATGTCCAAGGAAATTAAAGCAGTCCATGTGTTCTATATAGTATTTTTAAGCATAAACAGAAATATGCAATGCGCATACTACTACAAGACTACGATAGAAATGAGGTTATTTATCAAAATCTTTTCCGCACGTTAAACAAGCATTATTGGGTGGGGGGGGGGGGGGGGAGGGGGGAGGAACAAAAAAGAGAGAGACATTAAGTTCCAACAAGAGAAAGTGTATCCTACAAAATTTTGATGAATGTAGAACTTAATGGAATGCTCAATCTCCTTTGGGGCATTGGATTGCCCAATTTTTCGATATCTGTTCTCAAAAATACCTTCTTATGAGGTGCTAAATTTATAGATTGCAGTTTTGCTCATCAATGATCAAGAGTTGGCGCAAACTGTAGGTAGACTTTATGTATGACTTTGTCAAAACCCTAAAATAGAGCAATCTAGAAACATTAGAGCATTTGCATGATAGAGAACAAGCAGGCAAATCATGAACTAACCCCAACATATGTTGCATCATTAACTGCAACAACAGCAAGTTAATCATAACTGTGTATTAAACTGATGAACATTGCCAACCTAGCCATTACATTGAGCTAAAGAGGTCACTCTGCCAACCTCAAGAAGTAACACCTGCACAGAATCATCATGTGGCTTAACAGCCAAGGGGAGCAAATCTCGCTGGGAAACAAGATGTGATCAACAGCAATAGTGTTCGGAGGTTCAACGCACGTGAGTTTGGATTAGAGTTAAGTAGGTGATTCTAGGGGATTTTCTGATACCTAGATCTATAAATCTTTCTTCATAGTTGATTGTTCTGTGTACTTTGATGAGTCCCCTCAAAGACCTTGGGATGTGGATGGTTTGTCTTGTCACCTTTCCTAAGCTATGTTTATTGAGTTGGTGAGGCTGAGTCTAATGATCTATCCGACTGTCAAACTGATTTCTTGTCCCTCAACTTCTTCAATTCACAAACACCTTCACCCAATAACATAGGCACCGATGTTTACCTGCTGAAGGTTCTCAAATATTATGTTTGAGTCAGACATCCGACAATATTTTAGCTGTGCTTGGGAATCAAGAGCTTCGGTGAAGTTTATACCCCAATTTGACATGATTCACACGAATGCCTGATACTAGTGTTGACCAGAAGATAGAGACGTGCATCTAAGATGACGCAGACATGACATTGATTGACAAAGAATTAACGGCCAACATCCCAGAACGACGTAAAACCTTCTTTCAAAAAAATAAAAATAACAATATAAAAGAAGAAGAAAGGCTGAGGGAAGACAATCAGCCAATTTGACAATGATAATACCACGTAACTACATAATTAGAGCAATAATATGATTACCAGAGAACAATTTCCAAAAAATGACCTCCTAATAAATTTTATAAAGAAAAATCTCAGGGAAAGTAGATGATTTTTTTCCCCACGGTCCTGAATGATTAATTTGAATCTGCATAAAACTGAAGAAGCCAGAACATGTTGTATTCCATTAAATATGTAAAGCATAAATTCAGACCTTATATATCATCTCTT